TTGAGCAATGAGACTCGTCTGTCAATGGGGTCTTTCTGTCTCCAGCTCTCCCACTTGCTTGATTAAATGAATAGATGATTTGTTCAATCAAGCAAGTAGACATTTTATGAAAGGCTCATTAACTCAAGTATTTTGTTTACAAACTGGTTCAATTAATATGACCGTGTTCTGAAATGGTGGAATAATTAATGAATTTTGTATTACAGTATCCTGTATTATCTCAGTATTGTGATTAAGAGCTAAAGTATTTACTCTTATTTACTTCTAGGGCCATTTATATTGCAGTTGATATTTAGCCTCATCATGTTGGTGTTTTATATTCGGTGAGCCTGTGTGAATTGTAGCCTCAGTTTCCTGCTCTTAGATGACAGAAGTGGTACCCGGTGGTCTTCTGCTGCTGTAGCCTATCTGCCTCAAGTTTGGACGTGTATTCAGAGATGCTTAGCGGCATACCTCAGTTGTAACAAGTGGTTATTTGAGTTACTGTTGCCTTTTTATTAGATGTACCAGTCTGGCTATTCTCCTCTGACCTCAACAAGGCATTTTCACAGAACTGCCGCTCACTGGATATTTTCTCTTTTTCAGATCACTCTCTGTAAGACGGTTGTGTGTGAAATCCCAGTAGATGTAGTATTCTAAAATGCTCAGACCAGCCCGTCTGTCACCAACAATCATGTCTTGATCACAATCTTCCCCATTCTGATGCTCAGTTTGAACAGCAGCAGATCGTCTTGACCATGTCTACATGCCTAAATGCATCGAGTTGCTGCCATGTGATTGGCTGATTAGAATTTTGCGTCAACGAACAGTTGGACAGGTGTACCTAATAAAGTGGCCGGTGAGTGCATGTTTAAACTAAATTACAACATCGATGCTGTAAAAGGAACCCTATAAAATACAAATAAAAAAAAAAGTCACATTAACCTTTCACGTTTATTACAAAAGGAAAAACACTAGCTGTGCACACGCCCTATAGAAACTACATTAAGGTGAGCCTTAGTGGATGTGCAGGATTTACTGTTTTAAAAACTAACATGGTTGTTAAACAGACCTTTGTGATAGCAGGATATACAACTAACACCAGTCTACACAGTAGTAAGATGATAATGTATGTTGATGTTTTGTGAATGTGCGTCAGTGTGAGTGATGAATCATTTAGCAGCACCGGAAATGAAGCATTTACATGCGCTTCACCCTGTCAAGTGAGGCCGCTGGGAGAAACACTCACGGAGAAATAATGACGCAGGTGCTTGTGTTTATTATCAATTCAAGAGGCAAAATTGCAGTTTATGAACAACTTGCTATCTAAGTTGTGTTAACTTTATTTTTATGTAACGGAAGTTAATCTGAAGGTTATACGACAAGCGTTGTGTCGGTCACCAGCCATACAGGATGCTTTTGTTAGTATTTTGACTGACAAAGTCAAAAGCCCATTTGTTTTTGTTTTATTATTTATGAGCATTTGGCCTTTAAGGGAATGTAGAGTGTGAGGCAATGGGAGAGAGACTGGAATGGGAGCGGAAAGTAACGCTGGTCACACATTTATTTATTTCATTATTTTTCGAGTGAAAGTTTCTCTCTATGGAAGGTAAATCCTGCCAATTTTAAATAAATCAAATAAACATTGGAAATGAAAATGAAAATCAGATTAACAATTTCACTTTAAAACACTGTTCGCAAAATATCTGCCAAAATTGAAAACGAAATGAAATTATTTAATTTTAATTTTTACTTTGACAGCACATCGTCCCTGTCAAATTGATAATTAAAGTGAAGTTGCCAATTCAACATTTCATTTTCACTGCATTTCCACGTCAAGACGAGCCAATATTAAAATAAAAAGCCAAACTGAAAAATAAAATGCGAACACAATTTTTACAAAGCATGTTATTAATGTTCACGCTATAATAGTGACACAATTCAAATGAAAATGTAAATTTAAGCTTTTCTTTTATTGACACTTTTTCATTTCAGTTTTCATTTTCGATTTCATTTTCAACTTAAAGTTGTTTTGATGGATGGGAGAGCGTGAGTTACTAGTGTAAATACAGTATAACAAAGGTAAAATGGTAAAAACTGTTAGTCAGCTTTGACGTGAAGCAGCTGCTGCATTGGTACAGCAAGAGGAACAGGGGACACAGGAGCCCCGCAGCAGGAGCCCCCACCCCTCACCCCAAAAAAAAAGAATCTGGAGCTGTTTAATTCTAAATAAACAATTAAATGATCTGTAATATGTATGATTATTATTTACAAAAGATAAATAGCATACATTAGCAGCAAATAATTTAGCAAACAGTTTAGATTATTAAAATTAATAGTTATTATAAAGAAATAGAATCAAATTATCAAATAAATCTCATTCTTTTTTTCTCCTCCGTATAAATTTTACACATTCTGATTAAGGAGCAACAAATGAATATCTCTTTTATTTAGGTTTTTCTTTAATTAAATAACAGAGGTGTCACTTTAAAAATGCACACATCTAACGTTATAATAAATAAAAGCATTCGACTGCTTTCCTAACATTTTATATACAGTAGGACAAAATTAGTTGTGTTTGAAAAAAAAACACCAATATCGACATCTTTAGATGTTATTATTATTATTAATTATGTGTTTATGTCTGTTTAAACACGCACCCAAAACCCAGACTTTTGTATGTACATAATCGGTTTGGGAAACAGCTTCTATTTATCACTATGGAGCGCATTTCACTGACAGTCACGCATTGATATATGATTGAATAGGAGGGGCAAGGACACCTGTAATGAAAAGAAAGGGAATACGGCTGTTTTTATATTTATTTCAAAGTGTTTTCATGCCTAAATAAAACGAAAGCACAGAACAGACTCACATTTAAGAGCAAGGGATGTCCCCTGGTAGTTTAGCGGTATGGGTTGCATATAGGGAGGATCGCCTCTTTAATGTTTATTGCCACCCTTTATAGAAAGATTGAAAATATGGTAGAAATATGGGAAAATACCTTTACGCGATAAAACTGTGAAATACAGGAGAATGCCAGGAAAAATGGAGGTGTTGACAGGTATGATTATTCATTTATGTTTGTTAGTTAGTCAAAAGAGGAATTCTCAGTGGTTCAAGCTGCTTTTATTCAGACACAGACTCACTTTTCAGTCAAACATGGATAAAACCACACCCTGACCTACTTTTGTTTAATGTTAATTGATAAAACACACTGTCACTGTATCATATTTCTAAGGCTTCACTGATGCATATCTAATTATACCTTTTCTTATCGTTAATACCAAGCTGAATTCTCAAAACTGTCTATAAATGAAAATTAAATATTGATATTTTTTTATTGCTGATGTTTACAGCTGGTAACAAAACCTTTGCTGAGATGATCAGGCTTTTCCCCATTTGTCATTTTATTGTGTATGCTCTACAATAAAAACCATGATAATAAAACTCACATTATTTTATATTGGAATATATAGAGGGACAACTGATATTATATGCAGGATCTTATTGATTATTTTTAATGACTTATTTTTGCTCATTTTAGACATCTAAATAAAACTAGAGTGTTTTTTTTCTCCCTCATCCACATTCTTACTATATTTTTCTCCTATATGAGCCATAAAAGCCTGATGTATCAAATACAATAATAAACCAAAACTTTAATGTTTAATGAACTGCTCTGTTTAAAAAGAAAATGATATTAGTTAGTCAGTCTTTCAATAATCATTTTATTATTGTACACCCCCCCCCCCCCTCTCCCCCCAACACACCCACAAAATCGCTCTAGTATTAATAGTACAAATGTAGCATTAATAGTACTTAGTTTCATTCTTTTATTAGTTGTTACGGTAAATAACTTCCTATTTCATATAATATGGCAATTAGCGTAAATTTCACCCAACGTTACTTATTCAATTGTTAGTAATAATACAATTAGAGAGCTCTTTAATTTAATTCTTACTAGTAAAATACAATTAAAGAGATCTGTAATTCAATTCTTACTAGTAAAAATATGATTAGAGAGCTTTTTATTCAGTTCTTACCAGTCAAAATACAACTAGGCAGCTCTTTAATTCAATTCTTACAAGTCAAAATACAATTAGTGAGCTTTTTAGTTGAAATTTTACTTGTAAAAATACAAGTAAAGATATCTCTAATTCAATCCTTACAAAAATAAAATTAGAGAGCTCTTTTACTCAATTCTTACTAGTAAAAATACAATTAGAAAGCTCTTTGATTTGTTACTAGTAAAATACAATTAAAGTGATCTGTAATTAAATTCTTACTAATAAAAAAACAATTGGAGACCTCTTTTATTTAATTTTTACTAGTCAAAAGACGATTAAGGAGCTCTTTATTCAATTCTTACTTGTCAAAATACAATTAGTAAGCTTTTTAATTCAATTTTACAAGTAAAAATACTGTTAAAGATATCTTTAATGCAATTCTCACTAGTCAAAATACAGTTAGAGGGCTCTTTTATTTAATCCTTACTAGTCAAAATAAAATTAGAGAGCTTTTAATTAAATTTTTACTAGTCAAAATATAATTAGAGAGCTCTTTTATTCAATTCTTACTAGTCAAAATACAATTAAGGAGCGAAGCTCTTTTTATAATTTTTACCAGTATGATTAAAAACTCTTTAATTCAGTTCTTACTAATAAAAATACAATCAGCTTTTTTAAATAAAATTTTTACGAGTAAAAATATTATTTAGAGAGCTCTTTAATTCAGTTCTTACTAGTAAAAATACAATTAGAGAGCTCTTTTATTCAATCTTTACTAATAAAATGCTATTAGAGAGCTCTGTAATTAAATTTTTACTAGTAAAAATACAATTAGAGAGCTCTGTAATTCAGTTCTTACTATTTAAATACAATTAGAGCGCTCTGTAATTCAATTACTTTTAGTGAAAATACAATTAGAAAGCTTTTTTTTCAATTCTTACAAGTCAAAATACAATTAGAGAGATCTGTAATTTAATTTCTACTAAAAACATAAAATTTAAAAGCTCCTAAATTCAATTCTTACTAGTAAAATACAATTAGAGAGCTCTTATTCAAATCTTGCTATTAAAATGATTAAATAGCTCATTAATTCAATTCTTACTATTCAAAATACGATTAGAGACCTTTTTAATTAAAACCTTTGTAGTAAAAACACAATTAGAGACATCTGTAATTTAATTCCTACAAAAAAAATACAATTTGGGAGCTCTTAAATTCAATTCTTACAATTAGTAATACAATTAGAGAGCTCTTTAATTCAGTCCTTAACAGTAAAAATACAATTAAGCTAATTTGGCTTGCCATAATATCATGGTTATATTTTTTTAAATGAGTTTTGTTTTAATTCTAAATACTGTAAAACATCTGACATCTTTATATATTATCTCCCTCTGAGTGTTTGACAGATATCGCCAAAGTCTCCAAGCGGCGCATAAACGCTTTGCCCTCCTTTCGAGGGCTGTGTGTCCAGGCCAGCGGCAAGTGGACAGAAACCGGCTGACGATCTGCAACAAACAAACCTGTTAGACTGAAACGCATGACAGCAAAAGTGAGTTGTTAACCAACACACACATACACACACACCTTGGAAGAAAAGGCCACTGGGAAAGGTAATAGTGACGCGCGACATGGCGAGCCAGATCAGTGTATCTGAGCCCTGCTCCGCTGAACGCAGACGATCCCGCATGAGCTGATAAAACTGAGGCATCGCAGAGGCGACAGCTGAACACACAGACAAACAACACAGACCTTGAGGGATGAGACTGACAGGTATGCTTCTAAAAACTGTGTTATATAATGTTTTAAGAAAATAGTAGTACTAACTCCTACTGTATACCAATGGAAAAAATGATATATTAGAATTATTAGCCCCCTGTGTTTTCCCCCCTAACTGTTGTGTAACGGAGAGAAGATTTTTTTCAACACATTTCTAAATATATTAGTTTTAATAACTGATTTTTAAAATCTTTTCCATGATGACAATAAATAATATTTTACTTGATATTTTTCAAGATGCTAGTATTCAGCTTAAAGTGACATTTAAAGATAAAAAAATCCATAATTTTACGGTAGTTGGGGTGCCGGAAATGTAGGAGGTTTGTAAAATAACCAGCCTGATCTCACGAGAAAATGTAAGTATTTTACGTTTTGGCAGTTTAGTAGCGTAAGAATTAGCCACTAAATGAAAAAGTTACGAATTGCCGTGAGATTGTGTTAAAATAACGGATAATAAATTACAGAAATTTACCAGAAATTTGAATTTTAAGGATATTTCTGTAATTTAATATCCGTTATTTTACAGTATATTTCTGTAATTTAACAATCGTTATTTTACGCTTTTTTCAGGTTTTTTTACATTTTTTTCCCCGGAAATACATGAAACCGTAAAATTTTGGATTAATTTTTTTTTTTTTTTTACAGTGTAGGTTAATTAGGTTAATTAGTGGACTAAAGGGTGTCTAAATTTGTTCAAAAGCAGATGATGATTTTTTTTTTTTTCAAATATTTCCCAGATGATGTTTAATAGAGCAAGGAAATTTAAACAATCTTTCCTAAAATATTTTTTCTTCTGGAGAAACTCTTTTTTTTTATTTATAAAAGCATTTTAAGGTCAATATTATGAGCCCCTTTAAGCTATTCTTTTTTGATAGTCTACAGTACCAGCCATTGTTATACAATAACTTGCCTAATTACCCTAACCTGCCTAATTAACCTAATTAACCTAGTTAAGCCTTTAAATGTCAAAATATTATTTACTGTCATCATGGCAAAGATAAAATAAACAGGGGGCTAGTAATTCAGGGGAACTAATAATTCTGGCTTCAACTGTATATATAAATATAGGGAGAGAGAGATACACACACACACACACATTTAGATCAAGTGTATCAATAAATAATTGCTGAATAGTAGCAAACAGTACATGGTGGCAAAAAAAAATCTGTTGGTAAACAAAGTGATTATGCTATTATAGGGATTATTATGATGCCAAATGAATCAAGGATATTACACTTGTTGACTTTTAAAATGAGCGATACCTGGAGTGTCGGCCCACCCGGGGTGCATCACAGAGAAGTGAATTTTAGGATATGCTTTCGCCCAGAACTCTGTCATCACTACCTGCTGCCTCTGTGGACACACAAATGCATACACACACTCTAGCTCACGCACACATGACGAGTGTTTAGCGAAAGGTCATCATCATTACTGCATCTGATAGTGTTTAATGGAGACGCCACTGCTGGAACTCTGTGTCACCTGTTGCCTGGCAACAGCGGAGAGAAAGGTAACCTTCTCATCTCGGTTTAACACAGACCCTTCATGACTTTTCATGAATAACATTATTCCTTCTCTAATCTTTCTCACACATTATCCCTGCAAATTAATTCAATAAGAAAGTGTCTGCAAACACTTGACTGAAAACAGCCACAGATGGTAAATCTGAGGCCTTTTATAGAAATTATAGTTGCATATCAGGTGGGCTTCCATTCATTAATTCATTTATTTTCATTCGGCTTAGTCCCTTTATTCATCAGGGGTCGGCACAGCGGAGTGATCTACCAACTTATCCAGCATATGCTTTGCGCAGCGGATGCCCTTCCGGCTGCAACTTAGTACTGGGTAACACCCATATACTCCGCATTCACACACATATACTACGGTCAATTTAGTTTATTCCATTCAGCTACACCACATGTCTTTGGACTGTGGGGGAAACCGGAGCACCCAGAGGAAACCCACGCCAATGCGGCGAGAACATGCAAACTCCACACAGAAATGCAAACAGACCCAGCCGAGACTCGAACCAGTGACCTTCTTGCTGTGAGGCGACAGCACTACCTACTTCGCCACTGCGTTGCCTTTTGTGGATCTATATCAGGTTTATTTTATACATTAACATAACAGATATCCATACAGCAGTGGATATCAACGTGTATCCTGTCACAATTGCCTTGTGTGTGTTAGCGCACAACTTTATAACAACAATGTGTGTGACTCATCGTTGCAGAAGTTAAATTACCTCACAACAAATACATCAAATAATCATTGGACAAGTTCTTACTGTAGTAAGCGAGATTTGCTTCATTCTTGTCTGTCACTGTGCTGTTCATCTATGTGAAGGCTACACACATCAGAGTAAGGGAGAGATCTCTATGGCTCTGACACGCACGTGGGAACGGTGGGCGGGGAAAATCCAGCTCATTTACATGAAGGGTACAGGCAACAAAAACAGCTGCAATGTCATAACAGCTCAGATTTCCCAGATTTAAATATGTATATTAAATAATCTGATGGGTGTTTTGAACTGAAACTTTACAGACACATTCTAGAGACACAAACAACTTATAAATCTTGAAGGCCACATATTTTTAAGGTTTGTAAAATAGGTGGCCTTTAAAGCAAAAAGTTTAATGACCTTTTTAAAGTAAAGTAAACTTGTCACTTTTAACGCAACTGTTTTTTTTCTCTCACTTTATAAGGTAAAACCATCTTAACGCAACCATTTTACTCACTTTTTTATGTTAAGTCAACTTGTCATATTTAACCCAAAGGGTTTACTCAAATTTTTAAGTAACGTATCACTGTTTATAGTTCAGTTTTTAAAAACACTTCACTCATTGTTCATAATTCATGCAAAGCCTTATGACATGTAGGAAAAAGGTGAATAAACTTATTCTTGGTGAGTCGTTGTCTAATGTTCTGTTCACTTTTCCCATTTTTTTTGCCCCATTTTTGGAATTGCTGTTTGCTCTTGTTTTCTATTCATTAAAAGTACTTGCTACTCATGGATATGCCTGTCTTCTCATCCCACCCTCGCCCACGTTAAAACTGACCATAAAGGATTCAGCTGCAAGTCTTCACAGTGAGCAATTAAAAATAATGACGATATACAGTTGAAACCAGAAGTTCACATAAACTCTAAAAAAAAGGAACATAACCATTAAAAAGAAAATGTTTGATGGTAAATCACACTAAACGTTTACTATTTTAGATCGGTTAGGATTTCATAAATGATTTACATTTGCTAAATGACAGAATAATGAGAGAATTGTTTTAGAGAATTTTTTATTTACAAGACAGTCAAAAGTTTACATACATTTCCTTGGTATTTTTTTAGCGTTGCTTTTAAACTGTATAACTCTGGTCTAATATTTTGGGTATCCTTCCACAAGCTTCTCACAATGGTTTGAAGGAATTTCAAACTCTGGCACAAATTTTTTATAGGACTAAGATCAGGGCTTTGTGATGGCCACTCCAAAACAATCACTCTGTTGTCCTTAAAGCACATTTTAACTAATTTGGCAGTATGCTTAAGGTCATGGTCCCCTTAGAAGACCCATTTGTGGCCAAGTTTTAATTTGCTGGCTGATGTCTTGAGATGTTGTTTTAGTATTTCTACATAATGTTCTTTCTTCATGATGCCATCTATGCTGTGAAGTGAACTAGTGCCCCCTGCAGCAAAACAGCCCCACAACATGATTCTGCCGACCCCATACTTCACAGTTGGGATGGTGTTCCTAGGCTTGTAAGCTTTCGTCTTTGTCCTCTAAATGTAACACTGGTCATTATGGCCAACCAGTTAAATCTTAGTTCCACCAGACCACAGTACATGTCTCCAAAAATTAGTTTTTTTTCCCAGTGTAATTTAGCCAATTGTAATCTGGCTTTTTTGTTGATTCTGGCTTGTTGATTTTCCCATGTTGTCACACAAGGAAGCAGTGTGTTTGAGGTTTTCCTTAAATACTATTTTACAGTTGTGCCTACAATTAACTCAAATGTTGTCAGTTAGCCAATCAGAAACTTCCGAAACCTTGACACCATCATCTGAGCTTTTTCCGAGGCATAATAAATTGGGGGGTGTTGGGAGTGGGGAGGGGGATCAAAACGGTCATGTTCTCTATCGTGTTTAGTGTTGGTCAACTGTGGTAGCATCTTTTAATTAGGAAAAAATATTTTATAATTATTATTACTATTTTTTTATTTTAATTTTTGCTCTTTTATTGATAATTTTTCTGTTCCTTTCCTATTATGTGCTTATTGCTGTTTTTACTGTTTTATGCTCATATCATGTGTTTATTTTCTCTCTGTAAAGCACTTTGCGCAGCCCTGTGGCAGTTGGAAACGTGCTATATAAATAAATAGAACTTGAACTTGAATTATTCTGCATTAAGCATAACAGAAACAAATTTGATAATCCAAACTTACCTAAAAAAGAAAAAGTTTAGTCACATTAACATCTGACTTTTGTTTTAAAGGGTTATGTGCCTTTTTATACAGTGTATGTAAACTTCTGGTTTAAACTGTACATACAAAACACTAAATAACAAGTTTGACCAGCAAATTGCTACAAAAATACCTTGTTCTGTGCGTATACCATGGTAGCATCAAACTGAGCTCTCTCCGTCTGCAGGTCATCTGGGTTTAGTTTTTGCACCAGCATCCCTCCTGACGACACCGTGATCTACCAGACACATTATTATCATCATCACACATAATATAACAAAATATACCACAACATCAGAGAGAAACAGCAGCCTCTGTAGATCTGCACCAATATAAACACATCTATCATAGCTTGTGTCCAAAACACAATAACTGTCTGCGTCATCACATATGCGATGTGAAAGAATGCAAAATCATTTTTAATAAATCCTATCACTGAGATTAATGTAATTTCACACTCACAACTCGGGGGTCCCTGCTCTTCTCCAGCAATGGAATCAGACATTTAGTCAGAATGTAAACACCTGCAGTAGACAAAACAAACAAATACTAGCATGCTAAACTCACTGCTTTTAAGGCAATTAGCTGACTTTACTTAAAAAGTGATTAAACCCCTTGCCTTAAAATTAAGTAAATGAACTGTGTAATGAGCTGTACTTTAAATGCAATGGGCCTACTCACTTTTTAAAGTAAATTTAACTATATATTTTAAAGCAGAATATATATTGAATAAATAGAAATATGTCCCAAGAAGTCATTGTTTACAGTAATTTTACAGCAGCTAATGGAGGTTAGCTGTTATAAATTCATTATAAACCACAGCTTCATGCGGTTTATTGCTTTTATAAAATGCTAATAAGCAACTGTCATAGGTATGTTTGTTATGTATTTTACAACAGCTTTGAACGCAGCTCAACCAATCAGAATCAAGGACCAGAACTATCTGTTTTATGAAATAATAATATTCACAATCATTCAAAATGCATTCAAAAACATTAGAAGTTGTTTAGCAAAGATATTAAACTTGTTTTAAATGTTGCATTGGCAACATTTTGAGAGCATTAAAGACTGGATAACTTTGAGCATATGGAAAGAGCCTTGCCAGTATATTCTTACATTTCCTGCAAGCTGGCATCTAACCAAGGGTATTGGTTGCAAAGTTTTTCTCTGTTCCACAGAGTTCATTTCCCTCAACAGAAGATAAGGTGTGATTGTCATAAAACCCCCTTAGCTGATATAAATTTACTGTAAATGATAGCTTCATTGGGGTATATTGCTTTTATAAAATTGTATATAATTCCATATAAGCAGTAAAGTTTTTATTTTATTTTTATTTTTGCATTGTTACCAAGTAGTGGATACAAGTGATCTGTAAGACTGAAGTGTATTTTACAACCACTTTGAACATGGCTTTAAAAAAATATATAGTTGAAGTTAATATAGTTATAGTTGGGTTAATAGCTTAAAGAGGCTAATAATTTTGACTCTAACATGGTGTAAAAATTTATAACTTGCTTTTATTCTAGTCAAAATAAAACAAATAAGACTTTCTCCAGAAGAAAAAATATTATCAGAAATACTGTGAACATTTCTTGCTCTGTTAAACATTTGGACAGATGTTCTGCTTAAGTCATTACAACCCCACATGAGAAAACCATGGGACAATATGAAAAATGCAAATAAAAAAAAGTGGTGATTTCTAAATTTCTAGATTTTTTTTTTGGACTCTGTTAACATTTTTTTTTTTTTTTTTTGGCTCAGTACAGTTTTAACTTGCATTTGTGGATGTATTGTGGTACATGAAAAAGGTTTGCCTAAGTAGTCCTGAGCCCATGTGGTGATATCGCTTATAGATGAATGAAGAGTCTTGATGCAGTGCCACCCGAGGGATCAGAGATCATGGTAGTTCAGCTTAAGCTTTTGTCCTTGTCATTTACACAACGAAATTCCTCCAGATTCCTTGAATCTTTTAATGATGTTATGCACAGTTGCAGGTGAAATATCCAAATGTCTTCCTGTCTTTCTTTGAGGAACATTGTTTTTAAACATTTCAATAATTTTTCTGAAGTATTTGTTGGCAAACTGGCGATCTTCAGCCCATCTTTGCTCCTAAAGGACCTTTCTTGGATGCTGCTTTTGTACCAAATCATAATTACATTCAGCTGTTGACATCACCTGTTTCAAATCACATCATTATTTAACCAATTTACCTGATTACAAGCCCTAAATTCCTCCTGTCCCAACATTTTTTTGCATTGTTGCAGATCTGAATGACAGGAAAAGATATTTACAAATGAAATGAAGGTGACCAGACAAAAATATTGAAATATTTTGTCTTCATATTGTCTGAAATGAAATACAAGTCAAATTAAATTAGGAAATCACTGCTTTCTTTTTTAATTTGCATTTTCCATACTGTCCCAACACTTTCTGATTTGGGGTTGTAGAAGAGCATTCATTAAGACCTTACCAGAACATTCAGAGAACTTTCGGCCTCTTACCAAGTGTATTGGTCGCAAAGTTCTTCTCCAGTCCATCAGAGTTAATTTCCCTCTGGTTCACCATACATCCGGCATTATTGATCTGATGGGGATTAGTGTGAGAGACAGAGCACAGGATATTTCTTCATCTGTCCTGCACCTATAACCTTTATATATATATTTTCAATATACTGAGGTATGATGGGAATCTTCAAAAGCAGCTCTCTTGACACTCATACCAAAACATTGAGAGATGTGTGCTCCTTCTTAAAGGCCTCTGCGAACTCCCACACCTTTCTGGACTCGGAGAGATCCAACACATGGACAAAAACCATCTGCAGTACATCAGAAATATGAGCAGAGGAATCTGAGGCTTACATTCCATCTTATAAAATAGCCTTTAAACACTAATGATTTTCTTTTATTTCTTGTCATTCAGGCGGTTCATTCTGCTGTGGTGACCCCTGATTAATAAGGGACTAAGCCGAAGGAAAATTAATGAATAATTTCTTGTCATTCAAACACTGAAGCTTCGTCAGCAGTAATTAAAAATACTCACAGTATTTCCACTTGCTGAGACTATTTCTTCTCTGGCTCTTTCAGCCTTCTCTTTGTTTCGGCAGACAATATGGACAGTGCCGCCTTGGAAAATAAGAAAAAAATTCAAGGAGCTTGTTGAGAAGAGGTCAGTGTTTTACAATTTTAGTGTTTACCTATCAGTTAGATTACTAGCAAGTCATTGCAACATGATGAAATACATCAGAACAAATGATAATGCACCAAATAAATGCAACAATTATAAAAATATATTTTACATGAGCAAAACCATTCACATTATATCTAGAATAAGAAAAAAATGTAGTTATTGTTATTGTCATTCTAAATTACAGAAAAACACAAAGGAATACAAATAGC